TCTAACTGATTTTTGAGCAAAAAGCATTTCACTGATACCATCAACACTGCATTTAAAACACGGAACGATGAATGCCCAAAGTGCGGCCTACGAACATTTTTTTGTATGGCAGCTCGCATAGTGTAGCCATTTATGCCTATTCGTATCTACTGCAATATTTCGGAATTTTTGTACTCATCGTCAGATTTCAACCGGAGCAATAAATGTTCAGTGCGCTATGCAGTTATTTTGGACTCTTCGAAGCCATCCGCGAATCAGCACGGAGGTTGACTATGTCAAATGCGCATGACGGATTTCATCTTCGACTGAGGATTTATTATAATTCATCTGATATTCACCTTGAAATATTTATTGGGACTTCGACTGATCAAGCAATACACTCCGAAAAATTCATCAGCAACTTTTGGCGGAGCCAATGCACGACGTCCACGACGTTTCCTCAAAAGGCCATCATCGCGGGCACGTTCCGGTTCGGTGATTTGCTGTGTTGATGCGCACTGTTGCGAATCTGAGTCATTTTCACGGTTATCATCTGCGCTATCGTTTGTTTCGATCGGTTGTGATAGAGAATATCGATGTTCCGATGTTTTTTTGCCAGCATTCGATCCGTGACTACTGATATTTCTAAAAGAAAACATTTGAATTGCAACGACCTGTTCTGATTTTGCCTTCTCCACTTGAAGATTATTGGAACCGAGAAAAAAACTCCATTTCTATAGTGACCCAATGAGGAATTTTTCCGATTTTCGTCAGCAATTTTCTGTGATCGCAGTTAGTTGCATGGTAAAAACTTCTGCTGATTAAGAGTTTCTGGTTGTTCCTTCATGATTCAAATGGCACAACACGTTACTAACTTATAATTGTTGCACTGATATTCTGTGATTTTTATGAGTTACAAATGGAACTGAACAACCGTAAACGTTTACTAATCACGATTTTTAGAGGATATTTTAAAAGAACGAAATCGGAATCAAGTAATGTTATAGTTTAGGTTGGTAAAATCACAACGGTATTTCGTTCGTGCGAACATTTCTTGCTGTGCTCTAACAATAAGTAACATATTCGACTGCGAATGTGAACGAAATGCCATTTTGATTTTACCAACCTGAAACACAAAATCGACCAAAATAGGGCAGATCCGCTATCTGAACTGGCAGATCGGTAAGAATTGTATCAGGAGCAGCTTCCGTTGGACGGACTTTCTTCAGATTTGGAAGCGAAAAGAGAATCGAGTAGTGATGTGTGTGCATCGCGTCCGAGATCACTTTAGATGTTCTCTTTTATTCTTATTGCTGCCTCCTCCGTACAATTTCGCAAAAATTTGACTTCTTTAAGTCCTCCGGCCCTCTTTCGAAGCCCCTCTGTGGTCACACACGTATGCGAGATCAATTGCTCGCCTTGTAGCAAACGAAACGATCATTCTTTGTGGTTTGTGGACACAATGTTGGGGTTCCGATTGTATGTAAAAAGTTGGAACTGAATGTGTTGCACACATTAGGCTGAGTGAGCGAACGTTGTAAGGGATGCACAGCACGTTACTTTTATCGGTGATTCGCTTTATCTTAAAGAATTTGATCCAATCTAGGCTCGAGGTTGTCTCCAATTGTCTCCACTTATTCTCAACTACTCTTCATAATCGCGGCCTCAAGCCTGTTGTTCCCAATCCTGTCCAAATATAATAACCTTCGCGACACTTCCATCCATCCATCCAATTTTTCACCTCGTAATGCTCATTTCCGGCCGGCTGAGAGGCATTCATGCATTCGGTCGAAGGGCTGCAACCATGCCACATGCCCAGCCAAAAAAATAATGCAAAATGAGGGAATTAATGTCAAAATATTACTCGTTCACGTCGACAGATTGATTACTGTTGATGACTTCTTGCTGTCGGTTGGGTGAGGATGTGAAGGATAGTGGTGAGTTATTACTGACGCAGTGATCCGTCTCATCAGGGATTCCAGCGATCAACCCATCATCCAGATAGCTATCATCTGGCGGACGATTCCAGTGGCCATCCTACGAATTTCATAAACAAGTTATTTGGTTTTGTTTTTCATTTATTGTTTTATTAATTTTGCTACCATCATCGTTATTTTTAATATTATTATTTATTATTATATTATTTATTATTGTTATTAATATTACTTTTATTATTATCATTATTGCTGTTACTATTATGATCACTA